ACTTCCGAATTACCTCGCGGATTACTGAATTACTTTGACAGTATATAAGGCAAGGCTTGAACTTTCGATTTTTTTTTTGTCTTACCTTCACCCGATTCATATTCGTGGCCCCATAGTTGTTAGCCGTATCCTTACTAAATTGAAAAGTATAAATAATTATCTATATAATACAAAATGGATGTACGATGTAAATCATCATCTCGGGATTCTGTGCTCTGGCATAGTTGACCATAGCTAACACATCACAGCGGTTTCTCGATTTTGATTGGTTAAGCGTGACAATCAAAAAATTAGGCCGGAATAAAATCACAGCAGCCCATTAAGTGGAATTGTTCATGGGCCAATTTTACCATAATGCGGGCTTATTTTTTAAAAATTTATACTTTCGTAAAGAAAAAATTAAAAAGCTAATTCCGACCGGAACTTAGTAAACAATTATGTAATGCGGGCCAAAATTTGAAGATACTCGGCCGTTAGCCAATCAAAATCGAGGACCTGCCGTGACAATTTTGTTGCGGCAGCTATGTTTAATATGCTGTGCCTATAAAGGAGATAAGTCACGTGGTTGCTGTGTCGGTAGATTTTCCAAATCCTCACAATGAGGCACGGCATGACATCTAAAATATCACGTAATAATAATTAGTGAAACATACGTAGTAATTTCTATGTGATGGTTTGGCATCACAACCTCGTGCCCTTGAAATCACACCCTGTGCAAGAAATGTCGGTGCAGGAGCCATGTTTTTGTGCAACATAATAAAACAAGGTTTTGTGTCGCTCTATCAAAATGTTGCTGATCATAAGGAAACACAGAATAATTAAGTGCGTACTAATTTGTAAATGATCGTGATTCAAGATGCAATTATTGGTGCTTTTACGTATAACAATTTAAGCATTTAAAGCATTTAATGCTAAGAATATATACTGTACTTAATAGTGAATCGGGCATTTTTTTTTTTAAATCTAAAAAAAACAATTATTGTTTGGCCTTCTCAAATGTGCTATAGGGTATTGAAGCTGAACACCGTAGCTGTAATATCTCAAAATTGGCTTAGCAATCAATACTTAGTGTTCCTAACATTATAGTAAAGTAATACCATATTTATGGTGTTGAACGCCATAATCGCATTTTGTTTCAAATTTTTTTAAATTTTTTTCAAAAAGCTTACTCGAAAGGCCGAGTTACGGAACAAACCTCGCATTCTTATTATTATTATTATGACAACATGCCAAGTTCATCCAAGCTCGTTGAAAATAATATGGATATAGTTGCTGATGAATTATACTTAGAAATAAATCGGTTATTTAACGAAGGAAGAAATATTCCTGATATAATTGGCAAGTTTCTCAAGGAACATAATCAATCGATAAATGATATTTTCAATTGGTTATCGAATCAAAGCAAGCCAAAATATAGTTATATTCTTGGGCTGCTTTATTATAGTCGTATTGGAGATATCGGAACAAAAAATGCTAAAGGTTATTATTATTATATTAGATATTTTGGAACGAAAAGCGTTAAAGGAGATATGTATAAGCTATTTTTAAATGCTGCAAACAATGGAATTATTATGGCAAATATTTTTCTTGGGAAATGCCGTGAAGAAGGCAGAGATGTCAAAAAAGACGTAGCTAAGGCAAAAGAATTTTATATAACAGCTAGCAATTGTGCTGCTGCGGAATACGCACTTGGAAATTATTATTACAAACGACTAAAGTATCGCAAAGCATTTATTTGGTTAAAAAGATCAGCAGAAAATAATAATAGGAAAGCGCTGTACTTATTAGGAATATTTTATCAAAAAGCTTTTGGAACAAATTTTGATAATAATAAAGCATTTGAATCATTCTACCGAGCAGCCTTTATGGGTCTACAAAATTCACAACATGAGCTAGCAAAATGTTATGAGTATGGTGAGGGTACAGAAAAAAATTTAGAAAATGCATTTTTTTGGTATCAAGCAGCTATGGACAATAAACATAATTGTCACAATGATTTGGAGAGAGTGAAACATAAATTGAGACATCAAGATATAATTGAGGAGCAAGAATTGTCGTAAATTTGGGCGGTCTGATAAATTAATGTTAGAGACATAGTCTTAGTCAACTTAGCTTCAAAATCGATGGAAGTGGTATGAAAAAGATCCTCACTCTATATTATTTTCTTTCGGTTTTGAGAACTTTTCATCACAATAGAATATTTATTGTAGACTATTCATTCGCCACATAAACCTACTTTTCATATTGTTATTAATTGACTTTATGGATGTATAGCAGATGTGATAAATAGTATAATAAATGTTTGACTAAATTTAGTTCTTCACCTTATACTTATAACAGTTCCTTTTTTCTTTGTGTACAGCACACGTTAATTTTAGAGAATATTATCATCCTAGTTTAAATATCTTAGTTAACACTACAATTTATTTTGTAGATTTACTATTGGCTAGCTAGATCAATAATGGCTGTATATATGTAAAAAACAATTTTTTAACTTTTTTTTAATAAAATAATGCTATTTTAATAGTAGAGGTTTTGAATTTTACTGAATATTCAAATATATAAATTATTTATCAAATAAATTAATTGAATATTCATTAAATATATGCTATCTGATTGATCAATTTAAAATGCAAGATCACGAATAAATCATTATTATCATATTAGTTTTCAATCTATTTTATTCGTTTTAATGTAATCTGTGAGTGTAATTCATTCGTTGGCTTGCATATTTTAAATTAGCAATAAATTTAATTTTTATAATATTTTAATTATTTACCTAAATTAGCAACACTATTTTATAAGCAATTTATTTTTATTCAAATATCTGATAAATCTTTCTCATAAAAAATTAGTTAATCTTTATCAATATAACATTACAATAAGGAATAGTAAATGATACATTGTATACTTCTAATTAATACTTAAATAATCTGAAATGTATACATGAACAATTTTGCGTGTATCAATATCGATAGTTAGTGAATATTCAAAAAAAAAAAAAATTATATATAGCTATGGTTATATGTGGCCATATCCTTAATTTCTATAATAACTCAAAATTTTACTAGGGCACCCATCATCTAACTAAATAAAAATGCACCTCTTACAATTTTACCTTACCTTAACCCTGACCTAACTCTAACTCTAATGTTAATATAGCTGCAAAATTTTCTATAAAAAAAACTATATTGTAATATGGATACATGTTGCCTATAGCAAGGGGTTTCAGAATTAAAAAAAATAGCGTATTTCAGAAATAAATAAGAGCCTAAAAAATCTTATTAGGGGGTTTCAGAATTAATGATTCGGCGTCCGATTTCAGATAAAATAAGTGACGTATTTATTTCAAAATAAGCAACGTACAAATTCTATTTTTTTTAAAGTATGTACTTATTTACATAATCGTTTACCGATGAATGTTTATCAAAAAAAAGCCAATTTTATAACCGGCTATGCCTATTTAACTTTCTGATTCGGAATTTTAAAAAAGAAAATAGGTCCTTTTAAACTCTCACTTATTTTGAAAAAAAGTTAATTCTGAAACCCCCTATTTGTGTATCAAAATTTTGAAATCGGAAAATGAAATGGGAGTGTTTAGAGACTCCCATTTGACGAAATAAGTAAAATTTTTATTATGCAGATCAACAAACTATTTAATGACAAAATTCAGAGTAATAATAAAACTTTTCGATCAAATTACTTACTGGACTTTCGCTCAAATTACTTACTGAACCTTCGCTCAAATTATTATTTTTTTATTACTTACTGAACTTTTGTTTAAAGTATTTTTATATAACTTATTAGGCCATATAAAATTAATTTCTTAGTTCTAATAACCCGGCCGGGTCATATTTTGAAATTTTTTTGAAAAAATTTTTTTACAAGTTTTAATAGGCGGGCGGGATTTCAAAAAAAATTTTTAAAAAATTTTATAAAATTTAAAATTTTTTATATATAAAATTTTTAAACAAAAGTCCGGGCGGGTGGGTCATTTTTTTTGTCCCATGTTATGAGAACCAAAAAATTAACTTTGTATGGCCTTAAACTTTTTTTTATATAGCTTACTTGAAAAAAATGGTTAGATTTAATTGTTCTTTCACGTATAGTAAGATATCGATGGCTTGTATTAATTAGAATAATTCGTCAATTTCTTTATCCAGAACTTTAGTAATAGCCTTATTCGTGCTAGTTGAGTATTCTTTCATAAGTGTCTTTAAAAGATTATTTATTCGTTTAATTTGACATAAAACGGTATTAAAAGCAGTATCGATCAATAAGAAAGATCATATAAATATGTGTATTCAAATTTTAATTAAAAAATAAATAAGATTTGTGCATACTTATTTCAAAATAAATACGTCATCTTATTTTATCAAAATAAGATTTACGAAGTTTAATACTTTTTTTGACAGGATCAGAACTTATTTAATAGTATTAATAGTAAAAAACTAAATGCATGTAGGCAATGTCTAATTTTGTTTAAAATATAATAAAAATTTTTATTAGATATAATAAGTATTTTATCAGTAGCTTATTGTGAAAATGTTTGTAAAAGTTCAAGACATTTTGCAACTTGATTATTCTAAATTACCAATAAAACTGTTATTGTATACTATGTATTACAAATAATGGATCTATAAATCAGAAATCATCTGCAAATTTCACATAATTTTGCAAACCACAATAATTCAGAACATCTAAATGAATAGGCAATCAGATTGGCATTACGGCATTACGCATATATGTTATGCGTCGATAGTTGATTCCGTCATTCAGGGACCGACATATGTTATTAGTTGATCTGCTAATAAACCGAGTTATTGATAGAATGAGTTATCTGACTTATTATTATAAATGATTAATGATGTAAAGAATATTTTAATTATGCATCAATAAAGTATCAGTAAAACAAAATA